GAACTATAGCTAAGAGCCGGGAAGGCGGGACTTGCCCGTAATATTAGAATTAATAAAATGACTTATTTTATATCAACATTTAAGGCCAGGAGGTCAATTTAACACATTTCCTAAAATTTGTAATTCATTTAGAGTTACAGACTATCACTTTAAAGGGCCCTAATCTGTGATCATTAAAGGGCCCTAATTTGTCATCATTAAAGGGCCCTAATCTGTCATCATTAAAGGGCCCTAATCTGTCATCATTAAAGGGCCCTAATCTGTCATAATTGAAGGGCCCTAATCAGTCATAATTAAAGGGCCCTAATCTGTCATAATTAAAGTGCCCTAATCTGTCATCATTAAAGGGCCCTAATCTGTCATCATTAAAGGGCCCTAATCTGTCATCATTAAAGTTTGTTTTCATTTCGATGTCCCGCCCTCCACCGTTTCACCAATCAGAAAGTCTGTGATCCGGGCGCCAGAACTCACCGCGTGGAGCTAATCTCACTGGTAAAGTACCATGTGGCGCAGAACTAAAAAAGGTCTCGTTATGATTCTCAAATCATTTACGACAAAACAAGGAATAAAACCAGGATTTCTATCTTTGTGAAAAAGGTGTTGGTTATAGATTTGTTGTTGACAAAACTCTTGTCTATTCAGCTGTTATGGTCCCAGCTGGATTCGGTTCTGGACTGGTTCTAGACTGGTCTTAGATTGGTTCGGAGAAATATCAGTTTGGAGCAAGTCCTAGTTACCATAGCAACAGACTGTTTGCTTCTCTCATCTTCTTAGACAATCAGGCCAAACTGCTAAAGATATCATTTCACATTTAAAATAAGTGATCTCATTATAATTTTTAAATACCAATAATAATGCCTAAGATTCCGTCACTAGTTTTTATTACCCACAAACCAAAGCGTTTTAAAGTAGAAAACAACTTCAACCAGAGGAGATTAGTCTGTCGTCTTTAAACTACTCCCTGGAATCAAACGTGTAAAAACCTGCGGTCACGTCTGAAGTGGAAGAGCTGGTTCTGAGTCAGCGGCTGTAATGTGACATCACCTCATACTGACACCAGGAACTCACCTGGTCACAGATAAGAAGTCACCTGGTTCAACAGACAAAAGCCTCTGTGCCACAACGGGGAAGTTCCAGAGACACAAAAGTCAGGTGGACTGATGGTATCGGTGTCTATGAGGATATGAAAAACAAAATGCCCTGACGATACGTTAGTCAACACAAAATGGGTCGTGGAAAATTAGTTCACACAAAAACATAACAGTAGAATGGGCTTAAATATCAAAGTAAATACCAACATCTCTCTTTTCTCTTTATCTTTAGCCAAACCCATCCATCCATTTTCTTCCACTTAATCCAGACTTAACAGAGACACACACTTCCCTCTCCTGGGGGAATCCTGAGGCGTTCCTAAGCCAGAGACAAGTCCCTCTGTGGCCTCGGTCTCACCCTGGTCTCACGCTGGGTCTCACCCTGGTCCCACCCTAAGTCTCTCACGACTGTCCCTCTGTGGCCTCAGTCTCACCCTGGTCTCCTCCCGGTAAGACATTCCCGGAATGACAACAGCCAAAACTGAATATCCACATAGAAAGTCTTGTATTTGGTAATTACAAAATAAAACTAGAAACTTGCAATGGCTGAAGCCATTGCGATTGACTGCGGAACAGATCTAATGTGGAAATCTGCTAAAAAAAATCCTTGAAATCCTTTAAAAGGCCTTGAAACTGTTAAAATACTTGATAGATATTTGAAACTCCTGAAGTCCTTGAAATTGTTGAAACCTTTAAACTCCTGAAATCCTTGAAACTGTTGAAACATTGAAACTCCTGAAATCCTTGAAACTTTTTTTAAACCTGGAAACTGTTGAAAGTGTGGAAACTCCTGAAATCCTTGAACCTCCTGATATCCTTGAAACTGGTTAAATTCTTAAACAGTTGAAATCCTTGAAACTACTGAATGTATTGAAAGTGTCCTTGAAACTGAAAAATCCCCTCACCGCTGAAACAATTTGGTTCCTGTAACTAAGGAAACCTGGTCTGTGGTCATTATCTGGTGGTGGTCTGAGTCTTCGTTTGGGTCTTGGTCTGGTGGTATAATGCAACCTATTAGGTTGCATTATACTGGTTTACATGGAAAAATCCCTATTAGGTTGCATTATACTGGTTTACATGGAAAAATCCCTATTAGGTTGCATTATACTGGTTTACATGGAAAAATCCCTATTAAGTTGCATTATACTGGTTTACATGGAAAAATCTCTATTAAGTTGCATTATACTGGTTTACATGGAAAAATCCCTATTAGGTTGCATTATACTGGTTTACATGTACAAATCCCTATTAAGTTGCTTTATACTGGTTTACATGTAAAAACCCCTATTAGGTTACATTATAGTGGTTTACATGTAAAAATCCTTATTAAGTTGCATTATACTGGTTTACATGTAAAAACCCCTATTAAGTTCCATTATACTGGTTTACATGTAAAAACCCCTATTAAGTTCCATTATACTGGTTTACATGTAAAAACCCTATTAAGTTGCATTATACTGGTTTACATGGAAAAATCCCTATTAAGTTGCATAATACTGGTTTACATGGAAAAATCCCCATTAAGTTGCATTATACTGGTTTACATGAAAAAAACCCTATTAAGTTGCATTATACTGGTTTACAAGGAAAAATCCCTATTAAGTTGCATTATACTGGTTTACATGGAAAAATCCCTATTAAGTTGCATAATACTGGTTTACATGGAAAAATCCCCATTAAGTTGCATTATACTGGTTTACATGTAAAAAACCCTATTAAGTTGCATTATACTGGTTTACATGGAAAAATCCCTATTAAGTTGCATTGTACTGGTTTACATGGAAAAAACCCTATTAAGTTGCATTATACTGGTTTACATGGAAAAAACCCTATTAAGTTGCATTATACTGGTTTACATGGAAAAAACCCTATTAAGTTGCATTATACTGGTTTACATGTAAAAACCCCTATTAAGTTGCATTATACTGGTTTACATGGAAAAATCCCCATTAAGTTGCATTATACTGGTTTACATGAAAAAAAACCCTATTAAGTTGCATTATACTGGTTTACATGAAAAAACCCTATTAAGTTGCATTATACTGGTTTACATGGAAAAATCCCTATTAAGTTGCATAATACTGGTTTACATGGAAAAATCCCCATTAAGTTGCATTATACTGGTTTACATGTAAAAAACCCTATTAAGTTGCATTATACTGGTTTACATGGAAAAATCCCTATTAAGTTGCATTGTACTGGTTTACATGGAAAAAACCCTATTAAGTTGCATTATACTGGTTTACATGGAAAAAACCCTATTAAGTTGCATTATACTGGTTTACATGGAAAAAACCCTATTAAGTTGCATTATACTGGTTTACATGTAAAAACCCCTATTAAGTTGCATTATACTGGTTTACATGGAAAAATCCCCATTAAGTTGCATTATACTGGTTTACATGAAAAAAAACCCTATTAAGTTGCATTATACTGGTTTACATGAAAAAACCCTATTAAGTTGCATTATACTGGTTTACATGGAAAAATCCCTATTAAGTTGCATTATACTGGTTTACATGGAAAAAACCCTATTAAGTTGCATTATACTGGTTTACATGGAAAAATCCCTATTAAGTTGCATTATACTGGTTTACATGGAAAAATCCCTATTAGGTTGCATGATTACACTGAAGTCCTTGAAACTGCTGAAGTCCTTGAAACTGCTGAAGTCCTTGAAACTGCTGAAGTCCTTGAAACTGTTGAAGTCCTTGAAACTCTTGAAATCTTGAAACTGCTGAAATCCTTGAAACTGTTGAATCCTTGAAACTGTTGAATCATTGAAACTGTAGAAATGTCTGAAAGAGCTGAAGTCCTATTAAAATGCATGGGCCTATTAAAATGCATTGCAGAATTCTCAATGCAGATTTTTGTCCGATTGCGGAAAAACCGGAAATCGCTGAAGTCCCAAAAGTAATAGCAATAATCTCCCAAACATGTGGAACGTTTTGATGTATAACTTGTGGAAATTGTTGAAAATGTGAAAGCTGTGAAACGTGTCAAAAAAAATGACGGAATAAAGAAATACAAAACCAATGGTTGACTGCGGAAGGTTCCGCAGTCAATCAAATAAGTCACGTCAACAAGCATAAGGAGTAAAGTAATCAACTAAAGATTGAAGCCCAAGAATAAACTCCAACAGAGCAGAAGCGTCAAACTCATTTTGGTCTGAGGCCGATTAGAAAGAAATTGTTTTTACACAACTTTTATTTGACATGAGTTTCACTCTTATTAAAGGATTTTTATGATGTTTTGGGTAAAAATGTTAGAATACATTAAATTCCTGAGAAAACAGATGATGTATAACGTGCCATGGTACCACATTACCATCAATGCTGCAGGATAACAATAATAATAAAACATCCTTTTATTACCAAAGCGCTTGTTCAGAGT